AGAAAATTTGGGACACTACCGAGGTACATGATGTTACAGTACAAGTTCTCATATGTCCTGAGTCTTAATTGACCTTAGAAGGCTAGGGCCAAAATCTACATAGATTTTAAGGGATGAAAGTTGGATAAAACTTGACAGATATTCTTTGCTCATTTCAGTTCTTTTTTTACTTTATTAGTTATGGGAATAGATACGATAAAGTTACTTGGTCAAAGTATTATACTAACATGAACTAGAACTGTGCATGGCAAATTTGAACAAAACATTGCTTCTGATCCTACTTTAAATCTTTTAACTCTATACTGGGCTTTTGTTATACTGTATACCCTACCTTCGGTATCTGTGAAGATGTGCCCTGCTCTGTGTCTTACTCCCATTTTTGTGGCCAGTCAGTTGCATCTTTAATGTTGCCTGAACTGAGCCGTGAACCAGGGTTCATAGCCTTCATTTTATTTACACCTCAGGTCTGTGGGTATTAGCCAACCATACTCTTCAGTACAGCACTGTTAGACTAGATCAGATGAAAGAATATGGAAATGAAATATAGAAAAATAATGACCAACTTAGGTCTTACAGCTATTTCAGATAGTCTAACAGGTGTTATGAGTACTAAAATTTTGACCTGTCTTATGTTGATAAGCTAAGGCATAGAAAAATACATGTTAAGGTGATTTACCCAAAATCCCAGTGCCCTGAGAAGTTTAGGCAGGAGAATTGCATCCTGGGAAAACTAGTGACTTAGTAAGACCCTGTCTCAAAGTAAAAAAAAAAAATTAAAGAGGGCTGGGCATGGGAGGTCTTTGTTTAGTCTTTAGTCTTTAAAAAAAATCACAGGGAAAATTTGTGGCAGAAGTTCTAACTGCAGGATTTGGTATTCTTATTGTTAACCATAGTTTTTCTATATCATTTTTCATTGTCAAAGAATCAGTAGTTTTGCCTTTAGTCATTTCAGTATTAATAGTGTTTTCATTAATATGAAGCAGTTCTTTGTGCTAGATTTATGAAAGTTTTAATTAAGTTACTAAATATTTAAACTAGTATTGTAATGATCATGTTTAAAATGAAATATTTTTCAAATGTAATGTATTCCTGCAGTTTGTAAATAAGTATATCTATTTGTTATGAATACAGAATGCTCTTAGGACATTTGACTTTTAACTTATCAAGTAAAATCTTTCTCTTGAATTTTTTTAAAAAAGGCAAGGTAAAAATAGTTGCCTTGCATTTATTAACAATATTGTTTTTTTGAGGGGGTGCTGGGGAGATGGCTCAGTAGAATAAGTGCTTGCTTGGCAAGCACAAGGGCCTGAGTTCAATCCCTGGTTCCCTCCAAAAAAAAGAAAGAAAAAAAAGAACTTTTGGGGGCCAGGAAGATGGCTCAGTGGAATAAGCGCTTCCCTGGCAAGTGCAAGGGCCTGAGGTCAATCCTCCGTTCCACCAAAAAAAAAGAAAAATTCTTTTTGTGTTTTGAGTTTATAAAAATTCTGTTTTATATGCTTAATTTTAGAAGAAAAATTATTGCCCAGTACACTGAAAGCAGTGATTCAGAGGAAACTGAAGCCAGTGAATTGCCACAGAAGAAAAAAGGTAGTATATAATGGATTTGATTTGATACTGTGTTCTGAATTGTAATCATGCACCCATTTTCACGTTAATTTTGGTTAAATTTTTAGGAAAACTGAAAAATGTGCAGTCAGATAATAAAAGGCTAAAAGGTATGTGTATGTCTTCTGAATACTCATAATCTACAGTTAAATTATTGAAGTAAAATCCTATTCATTTGCATCTCTGTAGCATAGAAAGTTTTATTAATAGGTTTTTTCAGTTTGGCTGCTGTTTATATTTGAAGCCTTTGTGCACTTTACCATATATATTAAATGAATCAAATGAGGCCAATTCAGTGGACAGTTTAAAAACAAAATAATTTTCTATTGCTTATAAAATATATTTTTATGTATAAATGATAATCAACAAAATTAGGTTGAAAGTACCTTCTTGGAAATTGTCACATCATTGTCTTCTAACGTGGCTTTGTTTCCTAATAGTAAGTCAACGATACTGCCTATATAATTCAGTCACCTCCCAAAGGTTCTTGATCCATGATTACATGAGGTGGGGTACCATTACCTAGATATTTAGGAGGACATCTACATACAAAGCATAACAAATCCAAATTAAAAGACAAAAAGGTACAAAATTAGTATCTTTTTTTCCTTTATCTTAAAGCATGTTTATTTTCCTTTAATTCAGATCATATGGTATTCTTAGTGAAGAGAATATATCATATTTGGAAAATAACTGATCACTTCTGGACTAAACTGAAAATTTGCAGCCTCAGACATACATTTTCTTGACAATTCTTTCACCTGTGAGCTGAATCACTTTGCTTATGCTTGCTCTTACTTTCACATCACTCCTTAAGAAAGCAGCAGTCTTACTGTGGTTTGTTACTCTGGAGAGATACTTAATGCTAAAAGTAGCAGTTTTGGTGAACATATAGTATTATTATTTAGTAATATAAGCTCTCAAGATAGTATAAAGGTGGTATTCTGTTTGTAGCCTTTAGAAAGTATGTGTCCCTCTTAGTGGTTAATTGTTTCTCTATGAAACTGTCTCATTGCTGTTTATCAATAAAACTTTGAAAAAAAATTATAGAAGAAGGAGTAA